ACGATAATATGACAGAACACTTCGTTTCTGTTAAAACCACTGGGTGTACTATAGCTTAATGCTGTATAACGAATAATCAAAGTACATTGATCTTTTTAAGAGGTGAATAGTTTTTACTATACGAAGAAAGAAAACTTGTTTGGTACACATTACTTCACCAAGTTTAATAATAATCACTCAACTTTATAACTTCATTAATATTAAGTAAACACCGGTTTAATATTGGGATTTTGAAGTGAGTATGATTTAAATTTACCGCTATTCTTAACTTAAACCAACCACGTTGGTAATATGTTGTGAATGGCTGGAAACGTAATAAGAAAGGAGACAGGAAATTTGCCAAAAGATTGAAACTCCAGGGATATCGATTACTTTAGTTCCACTAAACATAAGAATGCTGCCATTGCAAAGAACTTAAATAGTGAATAAAAATGTTTGTGTTTAGACAGCAAACAAATTAAAATAGGTATTTGTGTATTTAGAGCGCAAAGTGATACATGTCACTTTGCGCTCGAATTATACACAGGATTTTTTCTACAAGCAGTGTTTCTATAAGAATGTTTGGTAAAAATTATTAATTATTGATAACCTCAAATTTGAGTCAAAACTCGCAAATACACTAAACGTTTCTTTATTATGGTTTCCATGGTAACAAAGCGAAACGCTCACTCCTCGGAAAAGTGCAACTTTGCGCTTTTTTTTGGAAGCGCAAATTTTTACTTTTCGCTTGGTTGTAGAAAAAGGTATTTTTATAATAGGTTAAGTGTTCTTTTTTCAGGAAAAATTGTTAAAGTGTAACTTTTATAATCGTATAAATAGGATATTATTGAAGATGTTTTTGCCATGCATTTACAAATTAAGTTGACATTACCTTTAGCCATTATTACTAAAATTAAATTAAAGCTGCCAATAAGTCAAAAACTTTTGATATTCATCAACGGGTTTAAACATTTTTGGAACCGGGAACATCGCAGAAACCTCTTCGATAATATCCTATATATATCCTGTATATATAGGTTAGGAACGAAATGAATTTTTTAAATTTTGTTCAACTTTCTCGGAAACTCCCAATCAAGAACAATTATCATTTCATTAGCCCAAATTTTCGCGGAAAACTCCTGGCATTCGCAGCGGCATGCTGTGTTGGCACAAAACGAAACAAAATAAAATCGATCCGCCGCCCCAGTCATCTTAGCCGGCACGTTTCATCCCCGTGGAGACGACCCGCCGCCACCGCCGCCTCCCCCGCCGACGTCGTTCCCACGTTGCCACCTGACCTTGTCTTCTTCTTCCGCCCGGAGGCCACTTGCACTCGCAACGCCGCTCCCGACGGCTTTTTGCCGCCGTCTCTTGCCGCTCGTCCCGAGTCGGCGGCACAAGTCGGCCGTTCCCGGCGTTTGCATCGCTGCAACATGCGACAGAGTGACCTACATTGGGCCGCCCCCCTGCTGCCCGTCGCCTCTACGGATTCGCGTGAAAATTTCGGGCCGGGGTGGTAAAAACCGACGGAATTTCATGTTTTTTTTATTTATTTTTTTTACTTTCCAAACAAACATCATTTAAATGACGACTAATGGTTATATATAGAAAAACTGCGAAGAGAATAAACACAAATCTATAAATTCTTTTAGGTACACCTATTCAAGTGTTCTCTCGGTTTTCTAAATAAAAAAAATATTGTTCATTAGGATTATTATTAATAATAAATTTTTGATGAGGCGAGATCATCAACCTGAATCGAGAGCATCGTCGTTATTTAAATATTCGAACGTATTGCTTAAACATTAGAAAAGTTATTTAAGGTGGTAGAGTTTAAATTTACCTTGCAAATATCCACAAAATCTTATTAAATCAGACCTCTTCTAGAACAAAAAGAGGATACATTTTGAACTGTAAATCTTAAAAACAGTTAAAAAATAGTATATTAACAAAATTACGTAATAATCAACAAAATTCTTCTTTAGGATGCGAGAGCCATCTTACTTCTAAAAATAAAAACAGTAAGATCACCGCAATGAAAAATAAATTTAAAAAATCTATTAATAAAACATGAACTATTTAAATGCTGATAAATATGCTTTGTTGGCATAGAAAGCCTTAACAAATCTCATACGTACTACCTTTATTAAAAATATCGACTTGAAGACCGTGTAGTGGTTAGCTTATTCATTGTATTCGACAGAAATAATAACGAAATTAGCCATAAACATATACAGTACACGAACATTAAATGGTGACTTACTCGGTTTCGTTCGTTTTGAACACAAAAACCGTTAAAAGTTCATCAACCCGCCGCCGCGCGAAGAAAACTTTTCTTTCTTGACATTAATCGGTATTATGAGATTGTCAACAATTCGGTTTTTGAATATGAAAAATTGCAAAATTCAACGGTAGCCCTTTATCGTTACGAATCGCACAAAGAGCCGGCGGCAACGGGTGTTTTTTTGCCGACCCCCCAGGGCCACCGGGGGGCGGCTGACGCGAAACGAGCGCCGCACGGGGGGCGGGATTTCTCTCTCTTCCGCGCCGATCTGCTCTCCATTCTCGGTGTGCCGGTACAGTTTAGTCAAAAGTTTGCGACACAAAACCATTTCAGTTTCGCAGCATGCATTTACCAAATGCACTATTACCAGAAACTACATTTTTTTATTTAAAGTTTGATCGTTATGCCTCGATTACGTTGGGGCGGCAGGTGGCGGGTACATGGAGAGGAGTTCATGTTATTTGTTAAGTTCTGCACATGTACGCTCTAATTTCCTTTCCCTGTGTTGATATTGATTTATGGTTTTAGAACCTAGTGCCAAGCCACGTCCCGATAGACGACATCACATACAAAGCCCCACATATTATTAACAAGTCTAAGAATTTGAAAAAAAGTTCATTCTTTTTATTTTATTGTACAAAAAGTATTAAATTTGATGATTGTATTACCCAAATAAGGTAAATTTAATGCATTTTTTAATTTTTAAATTAATAATAAAAGTTTTATTTCGTAAAAAAAAAATTACTTTTTACACTAATTTTATTGTTGTGAAAGTAATAATTTCAATATGTAAATAGCAAAACTTTTTAGTTTTTATCACCATCATATTTACAAGTTTTCATTAGGAGAACGTCGTAGTTAAAGGCAGACATTTTTATTCACATTTTTAAAATCTGGGATAAAATATGTTAGTTGAGTCTTTACGAATCAATACCGAGTTTATTTTTAGTTTGCTTTTAGTTTCGGCCGTTGCTAACGAAACGTCTCTCTTTTCAGCAATGTGCATTCAGAGTTAATTTGCATACGAGCTCCATCCGAAAAATCGATGTCAAGCAGAAAGTAGCGAAAAATAAAAAAATATTAAAATCTACCTCGAAGCGAAGTAATGTTTGTAAAATATATTTAATATGACTTAGTAATAAAACTATTTGGAATGTCATTAAAAACAGCAAACAGAAATTGCTATTACATTGAAAAGAACATCAATAGAATATCAATAGAGAATTTTTTAAGTAAAGGCTGATAGTGGTGTTTTTTCAACACCTTGTAAATTAAACCTGTATGTGTTATAGTTGATATCGATCTTCCTCTCGTCCTGTGTCGCATCAACGGGCCGCGGGGCCAGCGTACCCGCCGCCTCTACCAACGTCTATCTTTGGCGGCTGCTGCTGCTTTGCAAGAGAAAAGGGATACATATAATGCGGATTAAAGTGGTTTGCCCTGCCTTCTTCGCTATTCTCTGCCACTTGGCCCAAACGTATTGATTTCCTTCCTCCACTTTACGCAAGATGGGGTCAAAAGGACCCTTTTCTTGGCTAAATCCTAGCTTATGATGAAAAAGCATTATCTCGCCTCTAAATCATCTCGCACGGTAAACAGTGGAGGCGTATCATCTTCATACGTACAGGTATTATTTAAAAGTGTAGGTACAGTTTAGACAAAAGGCTTACTTTGATCATCGACCTTTTACTTGGCGCTCGACCGGCCTGATCTTAATGATTTTCCTCACTCTTCGTTTAACGATGCCCTCTGTTCGGCGTGCCCGGATCGATTCCGCAAACAGTATAAAATCTCGATGATCGTTTTTATACGCACTGCTCTTCTATTCCATCTTTTTATTTATATTGTTTGTTGAGGAATTCATAATTTATTTGATCAATATTGTTTTTTAAACCTTGGCAAAATTTAATATACGATATGCCATATTTGTTTGCTTTTCAAGTAAAATTGCGCAAATCCTGCGAACTTTTTCAACCTAGTGCGATGAAATGCGTGATTCAAGACAGAAGGGGAGAATTACTTTAATGGTCCCCTTTGCAAAGGGGAGAACCGTCACCTTTTTTATTATTATTTCTACGGTCAGGTAAGGGGTGAAAATGCCCACAAAAGAACCTTGAGCTTTGTATATTATCACTCTTAAATAATTGAGATGGATTAGAGGAGGGTTTGCTTTAGAAACACAAAACGCAAAATAGAGTTTTTTTCTTATAAACCACTTGTTGCTTTGGATTTCAAAAAATCAAAATTTTAATAAAATCCTGACGAATCGTCAAATTCTACGTTTAGCGGTATGAACACACAGCAAAGCTGTTCAGTGCAAGTCGTTTTGAAAAGACGACCGCGCATCGCCCGTGTTCGGAACAGTTTTATTGGGATAGGTCGAGGTCCGTAAACTCGATAGGCAAATGGCGCGCACGTTACATTAATAATATTATAAATCCTACAAAAATGTTTTCATAATTTCATTTATTGTTTTATATAATACATTTAAGTGGATAATAAAATGTAAACAAATAGAATTCTTTTAGATATTTTTTAAAGTAGTAAGGTCTCTGGTTGCTAATTAGTATCTGACAGAAGTAATTAACGCGAGCAAGCGGAAGTTCAGTCCCCCAGTAAATTTATTCAATTCGTATTTGACTGCATTTAAAAATTATGACAAAATGAAATGATTGTTGATTTTAAAGCATTTGGTTATCTAAATAAGGTAAGTTAAGTAAAAAAAAATGGTATTTACTTTTTCGTTTCTTGGTGGCATAGGTAGTCATGGTGTCTTTACCGACAGCAGATCTGAGTACAGCCATGGCATCACAGAGGCGTGGAGAGCACACTAATCCTTTCAGTCACAAGCACCATCAACAACAAAAACAACAACATGTGGATGAAGGAAGAAAACAACAACAACAACAAGGAACAACAACGACAGCAACCAACTAACAAGTATGAGAAGAAGAGCGACGACAAACAACGGAGGTCAGAATGGGCAGGAGGCACTGGGGCCGTACGCGTCCCGAGGTCGCTCGCACATCGCCTCAACGACTTGTTGGATTTCGATTTCCCTGCTGCTGCTGTCCGTTACGAATACAGCGCGAAGTGGCACTGAGAGATGAGAGAATTGGAGCCGCTGCTGCTGCCACCGCCGGCCGCCACGCTCCCCCCTTTTTCCTTTTGCCGCGACGTGTGTGCGAGAGTGTGTATATATGTATATAAGGGTAAACAGGGAGCTCTCTGGCGCGCGCCTTTCCAAGATGCGGCGGCGGAGGCATCGGTGGCGGTCGACACTTTATCCCGACGGGGGCGCCGGCACCGTGCCGCGCTACAGCCACCTTCCGGGATAAATTCAATCAACGACGTCCGACGACAACTTACCTACTTTCGATTTTCTACGGCTTGATCGCCCGTTTTTATAAACTTCAAATACCAGGTCACCACCAAATTTCAATTTTTTTAAAAATTAACCTCTTCTTCAGTTTATTGTGACATACTGCTTTCCGGTTCGTTCCGGTATCGATCAAAAAGACGGCGGCGACAATCCACAGCAAGCAGTCCCGAAGTGGCGGAAATTTACACCGCCGAGATCGACTTACAGCGCTTATTAATTAATGAAAATGTATAAAGAAACATAATTTTAAATACAAAAAATATAAACTCGTTAATTAGGATCGTAAATATAATATAATAAGTTGTCTCGAATTATGATCGTAATACGTAATCTTTGAATATATAAAGTGACTTTAAGACGTAAACAAATTAAACAATTTACAGTCAGAAAAGGATATGACCTTGCAAATATTAATGCTAATTAATTTCATAATTGAGTAAAAGTTGCATTAAAATATACCTACAAGAGTACAACATGTTTTGTGTTATTACAAACATGGTTTTGTTCATTAGTAAATATTAACGACATGAACCTATCACAATACAGATCCAAGAAAATAATCGGAAAATATCATTAAATATGCCGGGTGTAATAAAATAAAATCCTTCTAGTCTCGCTAGAGCGACAAATACTACTTTATTAACGGACAGAATCGAAAGGTTGAGGAGAAGTGGCAAAAATATTCCAGTGGCGTAGTTTTTCCCTGCGAGACCAAAATTTTGAGGTTTTTTCCGGATTACAGTGGTAAATAGTCACAGATCTCATCGGGTCGAAAGAAATAAAGGAGCAGCCGTTCCAAAAGCAGACTTAAAAATCAATAATGGTAAAAATTTAACTGCGACATCAATTGGGCGTGTCCCGTCGGAAGCCACCGCAACACGGTGTCAGTGACGGCGACGACCCCTTAAGTAGAAAAATAGCCGCCCCGTTTCGTTCGTATTTTACGCCATGGGATTTACATTACGCACTAAAACAATTGCGCATATCATAGCTGACCCAATCTGAGCATGACTTGATCGATTCCCAGGTGCATGCATATAGTGGGTGGCTTCCGCCCCCTCCGCAGGGATCTCTTTAGGGACCGACGGGGGGCGGCGGCGGCGGTGGTGCCAGGGCCACCCCACGCCCCCGCATTCATGCTTCCACAGCTTCACTCTCTTATTGACCCGATCCTGTTAATGGATTCCTCGATACTACACCACATTGCTCAGTAATGGCCAAGTGACATATGCCACCGCTGCCATGGCAGACATTTAACGACTCATCCAATCAAACGCCCCCCGACACCACTTTTTAATTAACTAAGCAGTTTTTAAAAAAATTACATAACCATCTTTTAATAAGTATAAAAATCGCTTTGCGTTGAAATACATTTTAAAATTAATTTAAGTTGTGCTGTAACTAATTGCAAAATAAAAAAAAATTATAACGCTCATCTGAAACAACTTTAATGTTCACATTCGTTTCTGCCAAAAGCTTACGGCAAAAATTTCTGTGCCAACTTTTCGGAATGCCGTTGACACGCAACTTTTTCCACTTTGTTCGCGATGGGAAATTATGTGGCATAATTTGGGAACTTAAAGAATGCCACATGACCAAAAGGGATTTAAAGTTCCTAACCAAGCCAAATAAGCAAAAATATTTTATCTCATTTTACGGCGGCTGTCAGATTTTGTGTCTAGTGACAAAAAGAGATCGCGATCTGTCTTATTTTGCAGTGTTGACACGCGGGGGGCGGCGGATCAATGTTGCACGCGGGCGGCGACAGAGAGAATGCTTGTTGCAAAACCGCCATGTTTCTGCATTTTATAGAACACTGAAGCATACAATATTTCCCGCCTGGATTTCAAGTATATTTTTCTTGTATACCTTGCAAATGATGTTTATAAAACTGTAGGATCACGAACAGCAAATTAAGTCAAATCAACGACTCTACTAATACCATACAATTATGCTTGCTTAATATTAACTCGAAGTTTAGAAAAAGCCTTATGCAAAACGCTATCGATTATTTAATGACAAGTCATGTCATTGGTATCAAAATACAAATCGATAAAAACAATAATTCCGACCCAGGAAACTGCTGAAAAAGCACGCAAGCAAAAAAAGTCAGCAATTGTTATTCGAAAAAAAAAATAGAATTTAACACGTTTGGTCGTTATTTTTATTTGTTTATAAAGCGCCAATTCTTAGTAGTCCAATTTTAAACTTTTAATATTATTCTTTGTTGAATTCAGCCAATTCTTTGGTTTACATTTCATAATGATCCCGGCGCATTCGCCATAATTGTAACTGTGGTTATTGTGTTATTTCATGCCACTCACCTTTTTTGATTTGGAACATATCATTGGTTTAGCTAATTAATCGTCTGCCTGGAGAATCTAAACCTGAAACAAATAAAAATATAATGTAATTATATGTTGGTATAAAATATTACTTTTGTTTATGCATGCATAATATAAACAAAGTTAAAATTGCCAACTACAATTATTCGTTCATAAAATCCACTAAACACGAACTATATTTTGTCACGTTGCTATTTGTAATGATAAACAATGTATGGAAACACATTTTTGGTGAGTTTCCAAAAGTGTGGATTCCGATTATAAAGCTTGTATAAAATCTAATCAATATATTGTTTCTTTATTTTCCTATCAATATAACCGTTCTTACAGACAAAGCTTGACGAAATAAATGTTATTGTATCGACCAAGTGTCACAGTTAAAGGGTGTAGGTAGGTGGGATTTTCAAAAGCCGAATACATATAAGTATTACTTTATCAGGACGAATAGTACAGCGTAGGTGTAAACGCGAAGTTTTGCAGAGACGAGAAGCGACTCGCATCTGGCCTCTGCAGGATTGTGGTGAAGGGAATTTGCCAAATGACTTCTCTTCGATGAGTCTAATTGGTGGGTATTTAGGAGGATTTCTCACGGCGCCCGACTAAAAAATGGAAATATAATCATGGACATGTTAATGTGAGTGGCATGCTTTCGGTATAAATCATGGGAAAATTATTTTTCCAAAGCTTATAAGAGCATCAACGATTATCATTCTTTGAGATAGATTATAGAACTATAAAGTTTTTGACAATTTTTTGCTCATGTTTCCAGGTTTCCAGATCGGAAATATATATTTAATAAGAAGGTTATAAAAACTTATTTTTTCTTGGTACCTTTAACTAAAAATGAACTAGTCAAAAATAAATAAATAAAATAATTGTCATAGCGAAAAAGCAGCCACTAATAATTCTCGTCAATAGCAATTTTTATTCCGAACATTTAGCAGTCAATTTCCATGTAAAATTGTCCCCTGAATTCGAAAATATCGTCAAAAGTTCTAAACACTTTTTGAGATATACCTAATCAATTTTCCATATAATATGGAATTGACTATATCTCAAAAGTGTTCTACTTTCATAATTTTTGACAGTATTTTCAGATTCAGGGGACAATTTTACTTAAGAATGTTGGGGATACCATGGTATAAGTGAAAAAGCAGCCACTAATAACTGAGGAGCATCCGTGCAAAACCAGCTATATCCATTTTAATAAAATGTTGGGAAAATGGCAAAAACTCCCCGTTTACTGGCCTTTACAGATAAAAAAGATGCACCTTAATTAAGTTTTGTGGGCACAAAACTGAAGATGCATTTTTTTATCTGTAAAGGCCAGAAAACGGGGAGTTTTTGCCATTTTCCCAGCATTTTATTAAAATGGTTATAGCCGGTTTTGCAGGGATGCTCCTCAATAGTCTATTGACTATATTATTATTTAGGGTGGCCCAACGAAAACAAAATAGAATTGTTTTTAGGTAGTTGGCAGTTTCTTTTTCAATAGAATCCACTTGCAAATCGCTAAAACTTTAGGCATGATAGGTCAAGTGGTACCTTATTTGAAAGGTCTCCACTAAGTATTATAAAAATAGTCAAATTATATTAATTCGTTTTTAAAATATTCAAAATTAAATCTTCAAAAGCGCACTTAGTTTCTTATTCAATTAAAAAAGTTCAGATAAGGAAATAAATAAAAATTTGGGTAGAAAACCGTCGAATCATAAAAAGCCTTCATCAGTCTTTTAAGTACACAAAATAGGTTCAGCTTCTTTCAATAATGGTCAACAGTATGACGGAGAGTTAAAACGATCACCTTTTTTTAACAGTGCTTGTGGAAATCGTGCAGCAGATTTATTCAATAAACACTATCCGGATAGGCATGTCAATAGAAAATTCGTATTGGAGTTGGTGTCGAAGTTTCGAGAAACAAGGATCAGTAGCGAACAAAAATCGGATCTTTGGATCTGAACCTGAACGTCCGGTCAGGAATTAAGCTGGTGGAGTTTTAGAACAAGTTTTTGCCAATAAAACTTTGCGCACGGGAAAATTAGCTACAGTTACCAACATCCCTAAAACGACCATCAAACGAATCCTTCGTCCTTACAAGATTCACTAAGTCCATGAATTAAATGAGGACTATTTTGACCGACGACTGGAGTTTGGCGAAACTATGACTGAACAAATAGTTAATGATGACAATTTGCTTTTTAACATCTGTTTTTCAAACGAGTGGCACTTTTTTCTTATCTAAACTGCCAATAGCCCTAATTGTCATTACTGGTCAGATGCAAATCCAAGGGTTTTCCACGAAGTCCACACTCTTAAAAACTTAATGGGCAGGAATTTTCGGGGATCCAGACGGGTTGGACCCATTTTTCTTGATGGTAACCTGACAAAAGAAACGTATTTGTAATTACAAAAAAAGT